AAACATTGCCCTTTGCAGCTACACATACAGAAACCTTACTTAGTGTGTATTTAACAGTACCATTTGGGGTGATATAAACCACCTTGTTATCTGTAGTGATATCATGAAAAACAGTACTCTTTCATGACTGAACATCAGATCAGGAACCCATATCTTGTCAGCCAAATAGCTACTCGGTTCGAGTGCGCGTGCCGGGTCGTATGAGAGCCTCGGGTCATCCCACTGTTGTCGGAGGTAGATACTAAAGCTGTAACTCTGTTGGGATCAATCAATTAACCAAAGACATTATTATATAGTTTAAAACAAACCCACACACATATTTTGTAACGCTGCGTGTTTGAATAAATCTACCTCAGCAGACCTTCAACCAATCTCAACCTTTTCCCCCACAAATTGTATAATCGTCGAACCCCAATACAACAAGCCATGCATGACACAGTCCCCGTTAGTTATCAAATTCTAAATAGTTTTGTTAATGCTAATATAGTTGGAACTTAAACATCCAGATCTGATCCTTGATTATGATAATTTTTTGACATGAAAAGGGGCTGACATTCAGTCATCTGGTCATCAAACGAGTACTTGTCCATATATAGAAATATTGCTCTGGAATAGCAAAAATTTAAAGAAAAAGGACACCAGACGGCCATTTTAAATACATCTGCATATCTATGATGTATAATGAATATATACAATTTGAACATAATCTGTCAAAACATATCAGAACCGCATTAAACCGATAATGTCTTATGTATTTACCAAGTTTGAACATAATCCATCTGTAAACAGCCAAAAATGCATGATTTTGATAATTTGTCAGTACAAAAATGGCCGCCTTTCGGTCGTCTTTAATCAATCCAATGAAAATATTATTTAATTAATGAAATAGACATGAGACCACGAATGCTTGCTGTCACACACTACTCCAACATTTTTTTGTCCCTTCAGTGCAACAGCCACTCTAGGGTACTAAGAAGTAAGGTTTACGTCATTCCTGTGAAACAACCACACTAGGGTACTACGGAGTAATGCTTATATCATTCCTGTCCAACATGCACACAAGGGTACTACAGAGTAATGTTTACGTCATTCCTGTCTAACAACCACACGATGGTTCTACGGAGTAATGTTTATGTAATTCCTGTCCAACAACCACACTGGGGTACTACGGAGTAATGTTTATGTTACTCCTGTCCAACAACCACACTAGGGTACTATGGAGTAATGTTAACGTCACTCCTGTCCAACAATCACAGTCGGGTACTATGGAGTAATGTTTACGTCACTCTTGTCTAACGGCCACACTAGGGTGCTACAGAATAATGTTTCGTCACTCCTGCCCAACAAACACACTAGGGTACTACGGAGTAACATTTACGTCATTCCTGTGCAAAAACCTCACTAGGTTACTATGGAGTAATGTTTACGTTATTCCTGTCCAACATGCACACAAGGGTACTGCAGAGTAATGTTTACGTCACTCCTGTCCAACA